GGACTACTGTAACGCTCTCTACTTGGGGCTGCCTCTGTCGCAAATCCGGAGGCTGCAGCTAGTGCAGAATGCTGCAGCCAGGCTGTTGATGGGTCTTTCCAGGCGAGACCATATCCAGCCTGTGCTGCAAGCGCTGCACTGGCTGCCTATAGCATACCGGATTCGCTTCAAAGTGCTGGTACTTACCTTTAAAGCCCTGAATGGCCAGGGTCCTGCCTATCTAAGGGACCGTCTCTTCCCGTATGTTCCCTCAAGAGCACTGAGATCGGGGATGTTCCATCGGCTGGTAGTCCCAGCCCCCCGAGCAGCGAGGTTGGCCCATACAAGATCTAGGGCATTTTCGGTGGCGGCTCCTTCCTGGTGGAATGAGCTCCCAGAGGAGATCCGGGCCCTGCGGGACCTAGTGCAGTTCCGCAGGGCCTGCAAGACGGAGCTCTTCCGCCAGGCCTTTGGATAGGAGCCGCCGCCACTACCATCATATACTACCTCGCCACATCGTCCATCTACCAGACCCTATGAGGTCGATCAGTTGTTTAAGCTGGGACGCTTTTACCATCAAGATTACAAGAACAAGTCGCTGAGCATTTTGTAAATTGTATAGACTGCACAGATTTTAGCACCAATTTTACTGTATAAAAAATTGTTTTTATTGTTTTAGTATTTATGATGCTGTTAGCCGCCCTGAGCTACTGGATAGGGCGGGATAAAAATCGCAAAATAAAATAAATAAAATAAATAAACTAATAACACTTAGCATTTAATATTACACATTTTCAAGTGTTCAAAGAAGATCTTCATGTGTGTTAAGTCAGTAATATTTAGAGTGCTTTCGTGGATCAAAACACTACGATGGTCCCTATATTGTAGAATGAAGGGTTGAGCTGAACCTAAAGGGTTCAACCTAAAAGTTCACTGGTGCGTTTGTGAGTCAGAATATGTGAACCCAGCTCACAGCATACAGTCAATAGGCTATATCGGCTCTCAGTTGCCAGCTGCATCAGGACCATGGATCTCGTGTGGATATAATGGGCCAATATCAATACACATTTGACTGCATATAAAAGTAAAAGTAGAGTCCTTGAGAGGGAAATAAAAACACACTAAAGCAGTGAGAGCTAAGTATATGTAAGAGCAGAGAAGAAAAATCATCCTTAACCATGAGTACCCTAACAGCAAACAATCTTACAAAACAATCTTACCAAATAAAGAGAGAAGAAAGAAGACAGACACATGAAACTGCCTTATACTGAGTGAGACAATTGGTCTACCAAGGTTGACTTGTCTACCCTAATTGCCAGCAGTCCTGAGGTCTCAGGTAGAGGCCTTTCTCATCACCTACTACCTGGCCATTTTAACCGGAGGTGCCAGGATAGAACCAGAATCTTCTTACGCAAAGTAGATGTTCTTACCACCGAGCCATGGCCCCATTACTAAATACAAGACAAAAGTATATGGCATTAAATACAAAAGTTATATTTTAGCCAGACTTTCTGACAGAGATGGCATCTAAACATGAAGATGTCCAATGATAGATTTCTGCCTGTCGAGGATTCACTTTCACATAAGGAAGCAAAAGAAGAAAACAATCAAACTGAATTGCATATCATATCCTTTGCTTATGAAGCAAGAACACTGACATTAACAGAAGAAACTCATTCTGTATTTAGCTCTCCCATTCAAATCTGTGTGTCTTAAATGTCCTTAAATTAGACTGGATCACTCCTCAGTTTTCTACTGATAAACAATGTATATGATATCTGCTCACTAAATTTTCTTTCCATTTCTCATCTGGGACCCAAAACAACAATATAGCTCATGATCACTGCATAATGAAAATGCTGAGACCTCTGCTATAAATTGTTGTATACATTGTTTGTGTTCAGACTTTTCTTGAATGGGCACATAGGAGAAATTAATGGATTATGCCAATAGTTAGTGAAGTTTTCCTTGGTATCATTCATTTACAGAGGGATGCATAGCCCCATGAAAGAGCAAAGGAACAGGACACTTACGCTAGTAACTGGCATGCCAAAGATTCGCTCCCTATTGTTGTAGAGTAATGCCATTTGCTGGGAGTCCTTCAATTGCTTCTTGATTCTTCTTGCTTCATTGGCTATCTCATGGGCCCGGTTAATATCCATGTGTGCAGAAAACCCAGCCACAGCAAGCTGTGAGAGAAAAACAAGTGTGACATGTAGGAAGGTAGAACCCATCCCTTCTAAGGGTACACAGAGATTTGAGAAGAGGTTGAGACATTTAGCTTTATATCCAATCTTGACAGGGTTTTGGGACTCCCATCTTTTGTATTGTTATGACCAATTGTTTCTAACAGGTCATGAAAATATTTCCCTCTTCACCATGGTGGGATTTATTGGATAATCAAACCTGATTAAAGGATGATTTGCTACAGCAATATCTGCTATGTTTCCAGACAACTATAATTATGGTTGCCAACAGCTTGGGGGGGAAATGTCATGTCCCTTTAATAAAGGTTTAATGTGATGTTATGTATCAGATGATGTTATTTATCACTATGCCATGAAAAGATTCAGTTGCGCTTTTCGATGCATTCTTTTAAAGGGATAGGACATTTTTCTCCATTGTGAAAGATACAGGGTTAGTTTCTTTGGTTGGATTTGAAGGATCCAGACTAATACTGCCTGAAACAAGCAAGAGTTTGTAGGATTACAGCTGCTTCTCAAATACAGATTTGTAATCAAATGGATCATTACAAAGGCACCATAAGACTCTCATACTGTCTTTTCCAAAGAGACTGTCAGTGGGCCAATTAACTCCCTCCTGAACAAGGCAGGGAGTATGCAAATCAGTATATTTTAAATGAAGTTTCATCTTTATGACTGTAGAAATAAATCTGAAAGCAAGCTGGCAGAATGTTCAAACTCACAGATATTAGAAGATGGTTCAAAGTGTTTGTTGTTTTTTTTAAGCCCCCGGAGGGGATTTTCTATTATTTTTATAAGACTATAAAGCTAACACAGAAAAAAGGGAGGGGAACTACATTTACAGGATAAAGTAAAGAAACCCACTACTACCTAAAAACCCAAGAGAGGAGATCATCAATAGCTTAGTTACATCAAGTCTTCCCTTATTTTATGTCATTATAAACTGAGTCAAACATTTGTAATACTTTTTACCCTTTTCTTTAAATCTTAAACTTAACTGTCTAAGAACAGTACCCCAATCATCCCATTTCAAAGTTCTCAAAGGCAAAAATCAGAGTCCTTCAGCCATCACTTCTCCTTTCCCCGTCTCTTCCACAATTTGTAAGGACTTTTGGAGGCTGCTGCCCCTTGCTCTGCCAGAGAGTCCTCTCCGGAAGAACCCGAGTCCAGCTCGCCACTAGACTTACTGTCCTCTTCTTTTTTTCCATCCTCTGGCCTTCCCAACTGGACCCTTCGAAATTCCCGAGCTTTCAGAACAGAGTCAATCATTTCTTTTTTATCCTTGATTTTGAAGGTGATGCCTTCTGGAATTAGCCATTTGTATCCAATTGAATTTGTCTGAAGAAAAAGCATGAGATCTTTATACTTCTTTCTCCGTTGCCTTATTTCAAATGGAATGTCTTTTAAAACTCTAATAGCATTCTCTACCACTTTCAGGGATATTCCAGAAACTGCTTTCAGGATTGCGTCCCTCACATGCCTCTTTGAGAATCTTACGCCAATTTCCCCAGGCAGATTATTTTTCTTTATATAGCCTGAATATGATCTATAGACCACATCCATATCGCTTAGCAGTGATTCCGTCTTCATCTCTGTCACTGGGGCTAGTAATTCACACATCACTTCTTTAAGATTCTCTCCCTTATTCTCTGGCATGCCCTGGAAGCGAAGGATCATATTAGCCTTCTCCATTTGTAATTGCACCAGCTGATCTTCCGTGGAAATTTGTTTCCTTTCCAGCTTTTGCACTTTTTTCTTCACCTTTTCGGTCATTGCATCCACTTCATTCACCTTCTCAGTATTTTGTTTCATCATTTGCAATGTCTCATTTATCTGATTTTGCTGAGAGGTGATACATTGAGTCATTGTTGACATTTGTTCCTTGACGTTATTCAGCTGTTCCAGCAGGGGGCGCATGGATTCTGCTATGGTCTTAGCCAACTCACTGGTAACTTCCGGTTTCGGGCTCCCAGTCCCTTTCGGTTTCAAAAGTTTTTCTTTGTCCTTCTTCCCCGCCATCATTATCGTTTGTTTACTTTCGCAATTTTTTAAAAAGTCTCAGAATGTGCACTTGAATGCTTAAACTTGCTTTGGTAAGTACTTCTAGACAGTTTCCTTCACGTTTTCTTCCGCTCCCCCCCTCAAATGCTCAAAAGTTCATGCGCATGGGAGGCGTCTCTCCCCCGCTCGCCTTTTTCCCATTCAGTGGGGTGGGGAGTGGAGCTATCTTTTTCCTTTGCAGACGCTTTAAAACTGACTCACGTTCATAATTGGTCTTCCGACCTCATTTTCGGCTTCATTTCTGACGCTCGATCTCCTGCGCTTGCCGCGGTTGGCGTCACTTAAGTCCATTCGGTCTCTCAACACCTCTTCGTTCCGATGGTTCAAAGTGGTTTTTTTAATATCTTGCATAACTTATTACCCTAGGAACCAATACACTGTGTGCAAAGATTTCAAGCAGCAGAACCTAAGGGATCTGGCCACTATAGATGGTTCTTGTAAATTGGCACTTTTCACTTGGTAGTATGCTAGGATTAATTTATTGGAAATGCAATGCAATGCATGATATTCAGATGCCAAAAGGCATATGGCTCATACCTGAAGTGTGCAGGTGCTATCAGAAGTATAGCTCTCAAATAAGAGAAGACTGCAATTTGTTTGCTATATTTAATTCATTTTAGAGTCCAAAACCAAGGATACAATCCATATGATATATTTTATTAAGACCAGCCTTATGACACATAAATGTGTGAGATTCTGAGCTCTACAAACTCTTCATCAGGCTGAATGAACAGTTCCGGAGAACTTGAAAGATCATATACTGTTGTGTGTCATTTGTTTGGTCCTAATAAAAGATATTAGATGGACTGTGTTTTTGACTTTTGAACCAGCATGGCTGTACACAAGTTTGTTCACTTTAGAGTGCTATGTTTTACATGTTTATTTGTTTGGATCCAGAGGTAGATTTGAAGGGGAGGGCAACTTTTGCCAACTCCTCCTTGTACTGTAGATCTTCAATTTGCCCCTTATAACGCTCCTCAGGGTTCCCTGTTCCCTCAGAGTAGCATTTCAGGGAGCATTTTAAATTGCAGTAGAACAAAGAAGGGGGAATAATCCCATTCCACTGGCAGAAATCCCTATGTCAGTGGAAATTACTCCTGAATTCAACCCATTTTGTGTTTCATTGTTGTGAGTTTCTTTGAATAATGGTTTCCTGTACAATAGAAATATAAAAGTTTACAGTAATGGTTGTTTTCAAAGAAGTAAAACACAATAATCAGTCAAGCCTTGCTTTCATTAAACCCGCACAAAGTGTATAGATCAAGAGCAAGATGCTTGCCAGGTGCTTACCAGCTGCCAGTGGGGGGCTCCAGGCTGTTCCCTGGGATCTCTATGGTTACTCTATGGCTTGTCCCCCACACAACGTGACATCATCATACCAGGCACGTTGGGCACGCAAGGGTGCTGTTTGGGGGTGGGGCTCCCCCCACTGGCCTGTGGCAGACTGAAGCCCCTGAAAACGGGGGAAACCCCACTGCCCCCAGGGGTTTGGCAACCCTAGCCTGGGCCCTGTGCGTGGCAATGTGTGAACACAGCCCTCAGATGAGCACAGGTCTCCATGTGAAAAAGAAAGCCTGATTTTGGATGCGGCGGGTTATAAAATTAATCCTAGCAGTCAATGGAATGGAAAGAGGGAAGGAAACCGTGAGAGACAGGATTGTCCCATCTTAATAATGAGTTAATTAAATATGAACTGTTGATGTGACGTTCTGATTTTTCACAAAATGCCATGTGTTGACATGGTTTACTTTGGACTTCGTTTATATCTTCAAACTAATACAGGGCAAAGATATCTGTACCTGAAGGCCATCTAGCCGTTCCTGGAAGTTGGTCTGATCCATGAACTGAATTTTTCGGAACCTCTCCTCATCTTCCATGTGCTGCTGCCGTACCAGTTCAATTTGTCCACTGATCTTGGAAGGCCAGCTGCTTGCAGCCCATCTAAGAAGACAAAGAGAGTTAGAAGAAATGCTTCATGGGGATATGGGCAGAATAATACTACTTGGAGATGTTACAAAACAAATGGAGGTAAAACTCCTGGAACTAAGCCAGGAACACAGATTAATCAGCATGCCTCTCCTCTAAAACTTCATCCCCATATCTATTCCCCTGGTGTCTGCATTTGTGGATTTCAGATGCCAGTGAAGACAATTCCGTTTCCCCCCAGCTTTTTATTTTTTATTATTATGCATTTTAATATATTTTATAAGCTACCTTGAAAGTTTATGACTGATAGATGGGATATAAATACTTTCTTAAAATAAATGTTTTAAATAATTTTTTTCAGTCACATACATTAAAATTTATGATGACCCTCCTCATAGAGTTCTTGTGAGCATCATAACTTAACTGCAATAGCAGTAATTTATTTTGCATACTGAAGGAGCTACAGAACTGATTCACAACAAAAATAACATATTTTTTGCCTAGAGAGTAAGTTAGATTCAGCACCTAATTCAAACTGCATTTACAATTTGTTGTATGTTCTGTGTCAGATGGTTTCCCTGGGTGAAACCAGCACACAGAGATACTGTACTGTCACTAATATAAGAGCAAGGGCATGAGTACTGTTACTTGCATGTGCCTGTCACTCTTCATCCAGTATTGCACATGGATACAGCTCTGTTTCCCTTTTCCTTCAGTCTCCAGACATGCCTCCTTCTTAACCAAAGCATGCATAATCCATCTCTCTTCCTTACTCTCACTCATACTCACACACACACATCTCTCTCTCTCTCTCTCTCACACACACACACACACACTTTACCTCAGACTTCCCTACTTTTCCCCACAACAAATATAACTGCAGGGTAGGCATGCTGACAGTGGCACAAGAGACCATTTTCTGCTTGGCTCCCAGGGCCAGATCCCCACCAAGGTATTGGCAAAACTGCTGGGGACAGCAGTGTGGGAGAAGGCAACAGATATGGCTTATGCTGTCATTGCATCCCAAACCTGCACATCAACCAGCTGAATCCAAGGCAAATCCTTGAAATTCTGATAGTGGTGCTGGGGCTTTGCTTGCTTTAAGCATATTTCTAAATGCAACCTTCAAACCACCACCCCCCATTTTGTTTGCTAACACATCAACACTTTCCCAGTTCAACAGGTGGGTTTTTTTTGCACGGGGGGCCATAGAGGTTGCCTATCCCTGCCCTACACCGGAACCTTCCCTTAAGGGGGCAGAACACCAGGGTAAGGGTAACAGTCTGGGTGCATGATAATGAGTGACTACCATTCAGGAATATTTGGGCTCTAACTACCATTTGACCTATTGTTCTACCTTGTGCAAGTCATTTCCCCTCTCTACAGATTTTCTTGCTTACTTTATCCACTGTAGGTCAGGGGCTCTGTCTGAATAGAGTCCTGCAGCTTGACTTCATGACTTACTGTATTTCAAATCAACAATGAAACTATGGGAGCAACCTGGCAGGCTACTGACAGCCCCCTGGCAATTCTCAAATTTCCAAGAGTATTTTATATCTACATAGGAATATGCAGCCTACCAATATCCGGTAAGCATCCATTCAATGCATTGCTTTTTCATAAGAAGCAAGGCAAAATAAAGGCCTTCAGTTTGCTAAAAAGGTCAGAAACTACAAAATTGCCTCAGTCTCTGGCCTTCAGGCTTGTACCACCACATCTTCTGCATCTGAATCAGGTAGTTCAGTGGCATCTATTATGGGTGCCTGAAGAGATTTGCTAAAGTCTTCAGATGTGTAAATAATGCCCTGAGGCAGAAAAGATGGTAACTGAAGCCAAAGGTCTTGCTCCCACTGCAGGGAAAATGCCTTGTGCTTACTTGTCATTGAAGTCGTCTTGAGTCAAGTTGTAGAGGAATTCTTCCATGACTTCGTATTCTTCCATGACCTTACTTATCAATTCCTACTCAGTGACACACACACACACACAGAGAGAGAGAAAGAGAGAGAGAGACTTTAAGTACATGATCAAAATTTCATTCCAACTGTAGTGTATTGTTATTACATAAAAAATGCTGCATATGAGTGAAATGCAGTGATTGGTGTGTGGTAGGGCCCTGCTATAATGAAAAATGAAAACCCACTTCTACTATCTCAGTTTTTGGGGTAGTAATACAGCATAAGAGACCCATCAGACCTTGGGTGTTTGTGTTTCAAGAAGCAGTGGCTCGGGCCTAAGAGTACACAGGAATCTCAAGAAACACCAGGGCCCATGAACCAATGTGCCCCCCTGCCCAGTGGTGCACTAGTGTAGACAGGTACACTTTCTAAATATTTTGAAGAGCTGGGGGGGGGATGGGGAGAATTGAAGTATAGGCAGTACTTATTACATTACTACTTTAAGAACATAAAAAAATTAGATGTATCCTTGTTTACACATAAAATCATATTTGGTATATTAGTGAAATTAAAAATATATATTTTTATTTGAACAATAAGTAAAAATATATCCAGGATTAGAGATGGAGCAGTAAGCTGCCACTCAAGGTGCACTCCTAACTGCATCTTTGTGCCAGCTGGGAAAATAGGGGAAAAGAAAAGTTAGAAAAAGAAAACATCAACATAGTAAAGAAATAAAATTATCTGGGCTTTAAAAACATTTCTCCATATAGCCAACATCATGAAGAAATAGCAGAAATACAACACCACTGTTTACCATAACCAAAAGAAGGTTACACCAAAGGCAATGATCCCTCTACCAAACTATTTCCAACTCTCTGAAAAAAGCCAGTGCCTGTCTTCAGCCTAACAGATCACACTATTAAGAACTATCAGTTAATCTGAATATCAACATGGGTCTCTTATGCAGTGTATAACATCATCCCACACAGCTGTAGTTAATAATAGATTAGGGAATCTAAATAGATTCCTTTCTTGTTAGTAGACAATTTATTAATATGCCAATATTTTAGACAGTTTAAATATGCCAATATTTTAAACATTTTAAAATACTGAATAGGAAACTTTGAAGAAGGATAAGCGATTCAAACACAGACAGTGGCTTTTTTTGCTGCTGTCCCCTGTCCCCAGATAGCTGAACTTGAATCCATGAACAAAAATGATAGAGATATGTATCCATGCACTGCAATGCATGTGCTTGAAAAATGGTGAAACTTCAGACGAAGGCTTAGAATTTGTTTTTCAGAGATTTGGTAAACATCAGAGGCTTGATTAATGCACTATAAAATTCCTCAACAGACTAGATCAGCTCACTTAAAAAAAACCAGGCTACATCGTTAGGGTTTTTCATTTAAATAGTATGTTCCCATTTTTACTTTTTTAAATTTAAAACATTTTAAAATGTTCTATGCTATATGAATATTCTTACACTAACAGAAGCCGATTATCTTCTACTTACTGCTTAAAATAATGTGCATTACCTCAGACCTTTTTTGCACCTCAGTGTTGCTGCTGTTTCCCAGCGAGTTGAATCACCAGCTGATGCTCCAACTTTGTGGCACCCCTTTTGCAAAAGGGCATTTATTTCAGGGTTGTTTTTTTAAATTCAGATCCGACCCTCCCCATGTGTTCCGCACTTCCTTTGAAAAGGGGTTGTGTGGCTGTGTCGTCAGCTACTTCGTCAGCGACAGAACCTCCTCTTTTTTTGCGCATGTGCAGTAACATTATAACATCATAACATTGTAAGAAAAAGGCTGGATGTATCAAGGGGGACAGAATGGTTGCCACCAGTGCTCCCTCTAAGCTGTGGAGCAAAAATTCTACTTTGTGAGCTACTGGCATTAAAGTTGTGAACTAGCAATTTGGCTACTGCACAAATTAGTTTGCTCTGGAGCCATCCTTCCTGAGCTAAGACAAAAATGTGTGAGCTGGAGTCTAAAAACCTGTGAACTACCTCACACTAAACTCAGCTTAGAGGGAACACTGGTTGCCACCATTTCAAAGATCCGCACTCCTCCTTATTCATGAACTAAGAAAATGGCTGCTGATCGTCAGACTGGATACACCAATTCATAAGACCAATTCCATAATTATGAAGCATGCTAAATGTGTTGTCATGTATTTTGTCAGCGATGGAACCTCCTTTTTTGCGCATGTGCAGTAATGTCATAACATCATAACACTGGGGGGGGGAAGGCTGGATGTATTGTGGGGAACTGCATGGTTGCTGCCATTTCAAAGGTCCCCTGCTCCTCCTTAGTCACCAACTAAGGAAACGGCCAGTGAAGATTCCCACAAAATCCTAATGAAAATTAGTATTCCGTTCGCGATTGTCAAACTGGATACACCAATTCATAACAGTGCTATTCAATAATTATGAAGCCCACTAAGTGTGTCATCATGTACTTTGTCAGTGATGGAACCTCCTTTTTGTGTTTGGGCATATGCAGTATTCCTAAAAGACTATAGCAAAGCAAGTTTGGGAAAGGGCATATGATGGATGAGGAAAGGACAACTGGAGCATGATATCGTGTGCATACTTACCCCAAAGTGTTCCAGTTTGGAAGCAAAACCAGAGAAAAACTTCCATGTGGAAACAGCCTCAGATACAATTCTACAAATCTATCTATGTACCTACTATCTACTACATTCCAATAATTATATACTACCTCCCTGGCCACAGCTTACCTCCTGTACTTTCAGCTTTTCAGGGATTCCTTTCATCCACTCTCGCAGCTCAGCCAGCTCCTCAATGCTGTTTGGTTTTTCATAAATCTTTCGGCTGATGGCTTTGAACGCTTCACATATCTAACGAAAGAAATGCTGAATCTGTAAATGCTAAGACTTAAACACAGGGACAATCAAGGAAAAAATAAATGGGTTGTATTCCTTCTTGAATGGTCACTGGTTTTTATCAAAAAAATACTTTAAAGCCTGATTTTCAGGCGTGAGGACACAAAGGGGAATAGAAGCCCTCTGAATTCCTGAAATTCAAGCCAAAATGACACATTATAAGGAGCACATAGCTGCCGCTCAGATTAGGGCACCCAGTCTTCTCCTCATGCAATGTTAAAGAAAATGCATATTATACCATCATGCTCAGTGTTTCCCTGCTCAAGCCCCCAAGACCTTAGAAAATCCCGGAGAGAGAGATTTTTGGAGGATGGGGCAGAATTTCCAAATTGTTGCCTTCCACAAATGCTTCCCAGCTTATGAAAGTACTAATAATATTTTTGCATTGCATGCACATTAATATACTTAGGAAACGGCAAAAGAACTATTTTTACCTGATGTTTGTCATGCATGGCCCTGTTGTGCAGAAGCATTTGAGTTAATGGGCTATTGATCTCTCCTACCAAGAAAATCCTTCAAAAATCATACATGCCAAAAGGATGTGAAAAACATTGTTATTATGACTGTACCCACAAATATCTTTTTGCAATTCCCTTGCAATTTTAAATTTGCAGAAGTGACTACAAAATTCTTCTTTTAGTTACTCCTTCAGTTTACACATACTACATATGAAACTCACATCTTCTACTTGACAATGTAGATTCTTAGCCAATATGTCCAGCATAGAAGTGGCCAATGCTTTGCATTTCTTGGAGAGGTTTTGCCTTACACCTTCAACACCAAGATGGAAGGGGCCAATTACTATAGAGCCTGGCAAACTGTTGTCCAGCATCTCCTTTTCTTCCAAATGTGTGTTTACCATCGCTCTCACTTCTTGAGCAGGGGGGCACTGGGTTTCATATGGTCTGAAGATATACAGAAATGCTGTTAATGGAAGCCCAGTAACACATGTATAGATCTACGCACTGCCCCAGATTATATCCTGTATTCACATTTATAGATGAAAACAGGGTGAACAACGGGAATGCTTAGTTTTCAAACAACAAGTGTAATTAGTCACTTTTCAGAAAAATGCCCCAAAATCATTAAACACATCTACACTTGCAACCTGAATGCCACTTGGAAGTTCTCCATACCTGCAGGGTATCGTTCAGATGAGCATGGTGTAAGAAGGTGTACATTCAATCTCTGTATTTGTTTACACAGAAGTAAATCTCAGGTAAATCAATGGCACACACCCAGGTAATAAATGTGCGCAGGACTGTGATGTCTCCAACATCATCTAAAAATTCACTGCTTATGTCAGAATTATTCAGCTCCTCCATGATGTCAGAGCAGCGAAGCAAGAGGGAACTTCAGAGAAGATCAGCCAATAGCATTAAGTGCAGTAGGAAAAGAGGGACAGAAGTAGAAAAGGAAAAATTGAAAGAGAATTAAAAACTAGATGAGCAAGTAGGATGGAGAAGACATGAAGATGAAATATGCAATTATGTCAGGTTTTGGTAACTGGACTAAGGAAGCAGAATTTGTAGTACTGTGAGACAGGACAGTTTTGACTAAGAGATGAAGAAAGATGTAAGTACTGCAGTAATCAAAGCAAAAGGTAGCTGTTGCTTTAAGCATATTCTGACCAAGTTCTAAAAACACATCTAAATATGTAGAGAATGAATGTAACAGATTTCTGGAAATATGTGCTATCACACTTGAGGATCCTTACTGACAGCAGACTCAGCAGGACAGGAAGACCTAGTTTATTTCTGTCTAATGTGTGAAAGAACCCTTTCTGTGCCCAGCTGCAAGGAAACCCCCAAATTTTCCTTTGAGTGTGTTATAAACCCCCCAAAAATCATTACATAGGAAACCAGGGACTCAAATAACATTTTTTTTGCCATCAAGTCACAGCCAACTTATGGCAGCTGTATGGTTTTCAAGGCAAGAGACATTCAGAGGTGGTTTGCCATTGTCTGCCCCTGTGAAGTGACCCTGGTATTCCTTTGCGGTCTCCAGTCCAAATACTGACCAGGCCCGACCCTGCTTAGCTTCTGAAATCTGACCAGCCTAGGCTATCCAGGTCAGGGCAACAAACCATCTTAACAGCAGTTAAGAGAAGTGACCAGTAACTCTCATCTTCTGATTCTTTTGCCCTGAAAGTGAAATATGTAGAGTATGCTCAGCATCATTAATACTGAATATGCATCCACTGAGATGTGCCACTCCCCTGTGAGCACTGAGCAGTAAACACATTAATCTTCCCATATAGTTTTTAGAAGAAGAACCTCTTCCATTATCCCCTCTGCCTCCATATAAAAATACTTACTTTAGGAGTGAGTTGATATCACGATTATTCAATTCTAAATACTTTTCATAATTCTTGGCATATGCTTGTAAAGGGATCAGTGCCTTGCGAATGCATGTGGCCATAGTATTGCGCAGTTCTTCTACAGCTGGCTCATGGATGCCGACAGATTCCAACAATGGTATCCCACAGATGAATATGTTTTCAAGCACATACTGAAAGAATGCCAGAATCAGGATCATTTAAAACAGGGAAGATTGCAGCCTGCTTCCATTTTCTCCACTGAGGAGGATGAAAATCCAGTGCACAGGATGAAAACCAATTTACTACCACACAGACTAAAAATGGAGCTGCGGTGGCTCTAGTGGTTAAGATGCTGAACTGCAGGCTGTGGAAGGTCGGTAGTTCAGCAGTTCGAGACCTGAGTGCCGCATGATGGAGTGAGCTCCCATCTCTAGTCCCAGCTCCTGCCAACCTAGCAGTTCGAAAGCAAGAAATTGCAACTAGATAAATAGGTACCACTTCGGTGGGAAGGTAACAGCGTTCTGTGCGCCTTGGTGTTTAGTCATGCCGGCCACATGACCACGGAAACGTCTTCGGACAGCACTGGCTCTTCGGCTTTGAAACGGAGATGAGCACCGCAACCCTAGAGTCGGATTCGACTGGCTTTCGAGCAAGGGAACCTTTACCTTTACCTTTAGACTAATAATACTCACCCTTTAGATAGAAAGGCTTAGTGGAAACCCATTTTATCCCAAGAAAGAACCACATCCTTAGCCATATGTAAATTCTGACATATGGTTACCCATTATTTATGCAATATAAAACATGGATGCTACAAAAGTTTGTGGGGATCACAATGCAAAGACCCTCATACAATACCCAGAGCCCCATTTGAACCGGTCATGTTACATGTTGTTTGAACCATGTGCCGTCTCACTTCTGCTTCAGCTTATCTCTATGAACCCACGATGGCAAGCCTCCTATCTCAGATCAGCCTATTCTAGCCAATGTCTCCTGACCTGCAAACAAAACCACCAAGTCCAACTGCTTTCATAAGATAATACTCTGTTCTCTGTTGCAGTTTTACCAAACAATGCCTGTGAAGAGAATTTCAAGAAGGCAGGAGGTGTGCCATGAAAGGTGATTATTGAAAGGCAGAAGACTTGAAAAGAAAACAAGAGCATTTTAAAAACAGAAGGCAGCACACCTGTTCCTCAGTATCAGTTTTATAATTTTATCTGCTGAACTACCTGAACTTGGATTTTAAAAGTTTGTTTTTAAAATATGCAACAAAACAAAAGTTTGTTTTTAAAATATGCAACAAATCTCTTTGTTAAGAAGTGATAATTGCACCAAACATATCATTTCATATCCTGCCACTAACTGAGTGTCAGTACTATAAATCTAGGAATTTAAAATTATAGCATAATTGCAACCTATTCTCATTAAAATCCACCATGTTTTTCTCAGTGCAAAAATGTTAGCTAAATTCTCTTTCTGTAACATCTTTTCTCACCTTTCACCTTATTAAAATTGTTGAGATTTTCTTTACCTGTGGATGAGTGTATGAAGCATGCAGCTTCATCTGACATTTCCTAACTAGAAAATATCAGGATGTGTAACCAAACTAAATCTTCTTTTCCTGAATCTCAGGATACATTAATTGGAGAATGGCATGACCTTTTCCCATATGGAGGAGATCAGTTCTTCTCAGCATGACTAGGTTGCCTTCTTATGCACTTTCTATTTCCACAAATTTCACAATCCAGATTGGGCGTGCAGCACAGCAGCCCCAGAAACTCTTGCTCCCCTGCACCTTTTCAAGTCCTGCAACAGCCATGGGGGGGGGCAGTTTATGCAATTGAATATAGTCTAATCTCAAAGGGGTATTGTGAAGATAAAATGGATGACAGAAGACATGCTATCCTGAGTTCATCAGAGGAAGGATCGGATAATAATATGACAGATTTAGATTTAAAAAGGCAATCTTTGGCCGAGTTCAGACTGGCAATTTGAAGCGCTAGGGAGTCGTGCCAAAGAAAAAATGGAATAGACCTGGAATGGCTTGTTCCCGGTATTCACACTGCAGTGAATGAAGCGGGAGGATACCGTGGAGGAAGCGCAAGGGAGCATTCGTACTGTTGCCCGCCCCTGGCGGGCTGTTAGCATGATTTCTGTACTCGGCTGCGTGCGCCTATGTGCATGGGCACATCAGCAAATAGGGCAGGATCGACTCCACACTTCCACTCAGCACGCCGGAGCATTCCAGTCGTGTGCACATGGGCACCTGCCGCGGAACCAGCTGGCACCTATTATCAACTGCGGGTTGTTCCCGCCTTATCAGCACTTGCATTCACACTCAGGGAACCGGAATCAATGCGCTGTATACACGGTTTGCTACCACTTTAATATGGTATCTTTTAAACTCAGGAGGGTAGTGGCACAAGATGGCTTGAGTACGGCTGGGGGACGCCTGAAACATGTGGCTGTGTGAACCCGCCCCTTTAATCCGCTACTGAAACACTTCTCAAACGTTTGCCTGCCAGGCCAAATTGCCAGTCTGAACGCGGCCTTTGTATAAGCATTTATCTTCAATCAGCATGCAATAGTGTAAGTGCCCTTTTTGAAAAACAGATCACAATTGAGTGAGAAGGTATCTTAAATTCCCCACTCACTTTCTCCAGCTGTGGTATGGTGTGGGTAGCCAAGATCCCTTTATTAAACAGAGAAACAACTGTGGTCTCAAAATTCTCCAAGGGTGTGCTGAAATGAACACCGGTATTGTCCAGTATCAAGTCAACTAAAAACACGGGATTTTTTCGTGGCCTGCAGAAGGGAAAATATGGACATCTGTGTTAGAAATTAATACCTTCCAGCACTGACTTTGCTTTGATAGAAATATTTCTTTAAAAAATTCATTGAACAGAGTTATCTCATAAAAACATAAAGGCCCTGCTCCAGTTCTACCTGGGCTCGTTAAACACAACTAGAGGCCCTCAATGGGAATATGCATCCCCATTAACAGGCACATCTATCAAGTTCAATGGGACCAGGATGATTATTGTAATGTAAATGCACATCAACATTAGGCATGCTTCAGGATCTCTCTCCCTGGTCTGGGGCAAAACAGCCTAAAGGGATGCCGAGGGTCATTCCTTTTTCTCTGCAATGAGATGGTATTCACTATAAACCACCTCATATATATTAATCCAGTCTGCCCTTGAAAACATTCTTGGAATGAGGCAGAATAGTTTTCCTCAGCAGTGCTTCACGCTGAACTCCTGCTTTTACTCCTGCTTTTACCACACACATACACATACACACACACACACACACACACAAATAAAGCCTCATAAAATATTCTAAATTGCATATAGACCCAAAAGAACAGTGAATGACCTATAGAATGTACAAAGTTACATATACACACAAAAAAGGACAGTGTATGACCTGATTCGGCCCACAAGAGCGATTTGGCCCACAAGAGCCTTCTTCATAGGTCAAATAGTGCAAAGTGCAATAAGCAACAGAGTCCCTGTACACATGTAAGGCAATTAACAATGAATAAAATAGGACCAAAATTGGAAAGTTCCAAAATGGAATTCGATGACACACCAAGAAGTTACTATTTGGGGTCTGCATGCCTGCCCACTTTCCCTAGCCTGCCCGCCGCAGCAAACAGGCTGGGGAAGGGAAGGTAGGCATGCACACATGCCCCCTTTTTCCCCTGAGCCTCTCCGCTTTTGCGGAGAAACTCAGGGAAGTGCGGGGGGCATGTTTAAATGCCTTTCTTTCCCTCCCCAATGTTGGAACCCCTTGCTTTACTTTGCTGACAGCTGTATATATGAAGGATGCTAAAAATGCCCTATTAGAAAAGCAGGTCCAAGCTCTTTGCTTACCAGCCCTGACTAAGGGAGTAGGCTGAAGCATGCCAGGGAGGGATCATACCACTGAATACAGTGGTATGATCTCGATATGGGCTTCATAAAATGCAGACTATGCCAAACATTTATTTTCAGAACAGGAAGTACCCTTGGGCTATACAGTTAGAATACAGTGATCAATATGGTCTTTCCTTTGTTTACTACCAGTGCATCAGTTTATTTATCTCCTTACTTGTATGGGCTGTTAACAAGGTCATCTCCCCAGACCATATCTTCACTGCAATTCAGAACACTATGGGAGGCATCCAAAAAGAGCTGGACGAAATTAACCAGTGAATCCTGGACCAGGTATCGTACAGAGTCCTGCAACATGAACTTGATAAGCTCCATGAGCTGGTGAAGCTTGGACATCTGGTACACCTCCCACTTGGTCTCATATAGGTTGTACCAGCCTTTGCCTATGTCCCTCAGACTGCTTCTCACTGCTACCTTTAGAGTACTAATCCATGTATCTTTCAGGAACATTGAAATCTAGAGGAAAACAGAACAAAGCATGTCAACTCAACCACAGGGCTAAACATACAAACACAGGTAATACAAACTTGATGGCTGCTGCTAGGCAAAGCAGCTTTGGGAACTGGGTGATTTGCAGCGTAGGAGAAGTGGGAGGGGGGGGGTACTTAACCCTTCCCTACTTGCTGCTTTTCTAATGCAACTCTCATCACAGGCACTCTCCCCTATGGGTAACCATCTAAATTTGTAAGGGTAAATATGAGTCTGGAAAACAAGGGTAGGGGAAGCACTGGGAGGGTTGCAGTATAAATATGGCAGCTGGCTTACGCACCTTTTCCCTCTTTTTCTCCACTATGCATTTTCTTCTGAGGCTGCTTCGTCTATGAAGAGCAGCCCTCAGTGTTATTACATGCATTTCATCTCACAAAATACCATTTAGAAAGCAGGCAGAACACTGCTCTCTACCTCAAGAAACATTCCAGTAATGGTAACAGCATTCCAGATATGGCAACAACCATAGCAATCTACTTTGAAAGAAAATGTACTCCATAAAATTTGTTTCAGTTTAGCATTTTGATTGGGACAATATCACATCTTATTCTTAGCAACAGGCTGAGAAAAACTCCTGCTTTAACTGAAACAGGGCAGATGTAATTCTTCCTTCTAATTTCCATCTCCATTTTTTTTTAAAAAAATAACCCACCAAAAGGTGCTGCCCTTTTTTCAGGAAACAGCTTTAAGTTTACAAAAAATCAGCACATACATTGCCTGTTGTTTCCCTTTACGTTCTTGCCCCCCAACAGCCAAATTGCCTTTTTTCATTTGAGGAAATAAAAGATTGTTGAGGAATAATAGGGATTACCTTCTGAAAAGATAGTACTAGAAACAATTGGACCTCATGAAGAATGTGTGCATATGGCCATCTGGATCCTACCCAAATTGATTTTGGGGGAATATAAGCCTCTTAATCATAGACAAGAGAATAGGACACTGTGTCGGAACAACTGCAGCCCTCCTTAAAACCCCAGATTATTCTCAAGGAGCTTCTTATATTTCTCCCCCCGACAGCATACAGTCCAGTAAGTCTGGCCATAGGCTCCTTACATTTTGCATAACCCCATCTCTGCAAAACACCTCTCCCCTCTGTCTTACCTGAGAAAAGGTCTGCGTCTGGATCTGCTCAAACTCCTCTAGTCGGCCATACTTAGTCAAGGTTGAATGGAACAGTGACATCACAGCAGTTTTATTGCATTCATCCCGCACCTGGCACAAAGCCATGATGACTTCTGGTCGCGTAAGGAGGGAGACAAAGCTAAAAGCTTCTCTTTGCTCATTAAATGGGTACTCTGGGACCTCAATGAGACCTGGTGGCAAAAACATGGTATTATCTAAGTTGCAAAAGTGGCATCACAACAGTTTTGCTAAGCTTGTGTACTTACTTGCTTATTAGGTACAGGGACACTGCTCCTTAAGCACGTTAGGCAGGTAAATCAGCTATAGAAACTGTTCCCACTAGAAGACTTTGAAGGAGCCCTGCATGGTTACTAATCCATCTTTAGATTCTCTTGCCTCCAGCTTGGTTCCTTTAAAGCAGGGCTATTCCACCATAATTCCTACTCCTTATCAAACCACCTTGCATCACCTTCCCCCTGTGCTTTAAAGCAGCGGACCACCTCTTCTTGTGACTCCTGGTCAGTTCTTTGGGTACGATGGCTCCAATCAGGCATGCTGGCTCCAGTGCCAGCACCCAGTCACACTCCTCTGCACCTTACCTTTCCTCATTCTCTGGGTGCAGCAGGCCTTACTGAAAAGATTATGGATAGGTGTGGTGGTGGTGGTGGTGGGGCAAGACTAAAAATAATGCTCCACAGTAACCAAAATTCTGTGGCAAGAAAAGTTCAGGCTTAAATTAACTATGGAAGTAAACACATTTTTGTATGTATGTCTTTATTCAGGGCATTATACCACACTTGTGGACAAACCACTATATATCCAGAAAAATGCAATAAAACCAATACAAGCCACAAAGTCATTAAAATATAAAACTACAGAATCCTGTGGACCTGTTTGCTTACTCTGGCATTTATTCTCAGTACAAGGAGCCTTTCTCTAATGCAGGAGGCTCTTCCACAAAAGGTCGGCCTACTGCATCACCAGAGAAAAGTGTTGCTGGGAGCAGAATGGATCTGTAGGATCCAACCCTATAAGCCCCAATATTTCATTGGTAAAAATGGGTAAATAGTTATAGCTGCAACAGAAAAATGATAGTAATAGAGCTTACAAAACCAAACAGTTATCAACCAACAATGGTCTGGGGAAATCAAAATGTCATCCCTTGGCAGCTAGTAGAGCTTAAAAGAATAGGTGGTGACCAGGTGCAGGGAGAGGTTCCCATAGGCCAGGCTCAGTAGCAGGAAATGTTGGCCCTAGTATGTGAACAGATCATCTTATTTTGCATGGAAAGGATTAATGGACTATAGGATTAAGTCCCATTTTGTTGGACTTGTGGGATCACTCCTATCAGTACAATACAACCTCCTTCTTCCAAAAAGTATGGTAGAGATTTAAAATGTGCATGTTATCTAGTTTGGTTAAAAGGAAGCACACAATGTAAGGGTCAAATACTGATTTGGATCAACGTGACTCACAAGGTGACTTCAAAGAGGATTTACACTGTGGGTATTTCAATGTATTCAAAGATATCGTATTGACAAAGGCTGCAATCCTAAGAACACTCTCCTGAGAGTAAGCCCCACTGAATAACATGGAACGTACTTCCAAGTAGACCTGCTTAGACTTTGTGCCTGAAGTGGGGCCACCTCACTGTGTGTGTGTGTGGGGGGGTGCAACACAGACACATCACACTGGGAAGAACCAGGCCAAAACGTTATTGATTACAGGTTCCTCAAGTGTTGGTGCAGCATAGGCTGGGAACAATGGGTGTGGTTGACAGCCAAACTGCTGTCAGCACCTTTCCCAAACTGCCTGTTGGGGTAACTGAGGGCAGAGGGCTGGTGTTAGGGCTGTAAGCAGTGCAAACCACTATTCCTAGCCATCACCATCCTCCCGGGGGCATGGCCAATGTGTCAGTCCCTAGGTTAGCTACCCTGAAAACGTCCTAAAAAGATACAATTATGTGACATAATTAATATTATCTCTTCCTGCATTACATGTATCATAATTTAAATTAAGCACAACAAACAACAGAGGTTTTTCCAGCCTAGAAAGAGCGTGCCCATCTCTGCTGTGCCACCTACCCTTCTCTGGCACCTTCTCTTCCTCTTTCTCAGGCAGCGTGACATAAGAGAATGTCTGAGGCTTGGAAGTGACAATTCTGTCAAAGTTAATCTTGTTCATGGTACGTTCGTAGTCTAGGGACACTTCCTTCCTCAGGTGGTACATCCGATTTAAAACGCTAAGTACAATTAAAAAACTAATTAACAGAATGAACGATGACCACTCAAAATGATACATCTGCATCACTCATATCTGCAGTCTCATATTCAACTCCCCTATGCTCACTTACACTTTGTTTCTTCATTAAAAGTCTCTGAAGTGCATTAACAGTAGACCCAGAATGGGGCAGCAGGTGATGTAGAAAGGTTAGGAGCCAGTGGGGTACAATTGCATGGCACCTAGTAGTGTATGGCTAATGACTGTGAGGGAGAACCTTAAAAACTATATTTCCATTTTTGTTTCTTGTTTCCCTCCTAGACCTCTATAACTGTCATGCTGGTTATGACTCTGCTCTACATGCACTGAGAATTTTCCTTCTCCATTTCTCAGTCTGCAGATAGGGTTTGTTACGGCCCTGGGGAAGGACACACAACTATTGGTCATGTGCAGCAGGGCACTGCATATTCGAAGAAGGATGTCTGAGAGTATTTAAACCCTAGAAGTGTTCTAGTCCTCCATCCAGCCTTTACCAGGCACAGTTTATCCACTCATCTTTCCATTGAAGGGACAGTGCAGGCACTAGCTGGTTGCTTCAGGGCCAAGTAGGACTGCATTACCTCCAAGGGAGATCTTCTGTATCTGCTGTTCCAGATTGGCCAGGGGTGAAGATTTTTTTCACCCACTCTGCACTGCCTTTCACCTTGGATTACAGTGTACCTTGTGTAATCAAAACGTTTTGCACTTGGGAATCATCCTAATTAGCCATCACAATTATTAGGTGACAGAAAGCAAGACCAGGAGGAGGCAGACTGGAATGCTCAAATCAGTTTACAGAGCTGCCTTAAGGTATATACTATAAGAACTGGTGTGGCAGGGCTTGCTCTGTAAGGCTAACATGGCATGCAGCAGACTATCCCGGATTCCAGGAGATTTAATCTGGGGATCTGATGTGGCCACTAATGGGGCAGGGGTGTTTGCTTTATAAGTACCGTTTTTCACCAGGCATAATGATGCATCAGTCAGAACCACAGTGCAGAAAACTGCATCCCATTGGCCACACGGTTACATTCTAAGAATTTTAGGACAATCTGAACAAGACAGCTTTCTTGCCTCCTTTCCCCAGAGATCTGCAATGTGCTAAGTGTTTAATTAAGCTATGCTGCAGTTCTTTCTATAAGACTGTGGCCTGGTTAAACCCAAATTCATGTGCCATGTGGTCCATCTGGGGTCGAGGGCCATTATAAACAGGTAGAAACAATTATACCGGAATCATATGCTCCATCCAATCCAAAAAAAAAAAAGGCACTGGAGCAAGGAAGCAGCCTTCCTTGCATGTAGCAGCTGAAGATGTACATCTGGATATGCCTCCTTATCCAGATTACTATGTTCATTTCGGCCCAAGTGTCAAATATGCCTTTGCATGCACATGATGTGCATCGCCACCGAAAGTCTCAATTATTCTGCATAACTAGTTGCCTGTAATTTGTGCTGGGTCATGGTCACTGTTATTGCATACAGAAGCATACATTAGCATAGGATAACCTTAGATTTGAATGTTAAAGTCACGTGGGGGAATTTCTAAAAACCTCCCTCCACTTATTTTTTGAATGCATGACATACTGGTGCAGTCCCAGATTTCCAGCTATTATTATTTTACTGTATTATCATCTCCCACCTCTATTACCAGCATATTTTTGTCAAGCCATAGAGCTATTCATAGACAGTTTCTTTTTCACACCTCTGTATCTGAATGTGGGAAAAGCTGTCACAGCTCAGTGAAGTGGACAGATATACCAATGACACTACTGGCCGATGATTCATCTAGCTTAGGGCAGCTCAATTTTTCCAAATCATGAAATCTATAGAACAGCAACTTCAGGGGTTTATGCTTTCCCCACTTTTATACAGAGATTTCTTCTCCTTCCATTATACATTGTTATTGATCCAATATTTGAATATGCATTAGCAGTAGAAGATCAGTACTCTGGTTAGGAGCCAGCTCTCACTGAATCTAAAGAAGGGACACTAACCACCCCAAAGGGCTCTTGAAAACCCTCTAACTTCTGTTTAAACTACGGATGAATACACATGAAGCCGCCTTATATTGAATCAGGCCCTTGGTCCATCAATGTCAGTACTGTCCCAATGACACAGGTTAGAATGGTGCTCCTTAAACTTTCTAAATGCCTGTGTCTGTCTCATCTGAGATGGCTTTATAGGTGGCATGACATTGAAGTTGCATCCAGCTAACTGCAGACTTCTGTCCCTGTTTGTGGCTATTACTTAGCTCCTTAAAAATTATGTTTGCGCCTGCAAGCGACACTTCCCAGGGTGCCCAGCAGAAGGAACAAGTAGGAAAGAAAGCACAGAAAAGGAAATGAGGAGGGGACTATAAGAATGCCCTGTTGTGTTATTCCTTAGAATAAACAAGATATGAAAAGCACAGCCATGGTTTGAGTATTTCAGTGAATTAATCTCACTACCAACAAAGAATCATTACAATACTTACAAACTTCCCTTTCTCAGACGTGGAGTGTTCATTGCCAACTGCTTCATCCGCAGAAGACTTTTCTCTTCAATGCTTTGCAATCCATCCACAGGCATACAGTCCACATACAGATTGTACAATAACAGTGCCTGTGTTTTCTTCCGCAAGTCATTGGCAGAGATTACTCGCTGGGCAAACACGCGAGGATCCTCTCCGAGAAAAAGCAAACAGACCCGGGGCACCCAGTACTGACAAGGCATCAGTGGGGCTCTCCCTGGGAAGAAATCAAGAAGGGATTAAGCAGCTGTAAGAATACATAACAGATGCTAGAAGCCTTGGTTACCAAAGGCTTCCATGTGTCTGTGAGCCTATTACCAAGCTGGCATACCCAGGACTATACAACTAATCGAGAACTGAAGCTGAGACTCAGATGACTGCAGAGCAGAAGTGTGAGCATGTCTAAATCAGTCCAATGATGTGTGAGGGAACAGTGTATTTTACAAGCAATTTTTATTTTGTTCACATAAGTTCTTCAAGGAATCACCAGCAGAAAGAAAAATAGCCAGTCCCCTTTAATTAAAGGGCAGGAGCACCATCACGGTGCAGGGCTTTGATGAAACTAAGGCAGCTAACTGGGAGCTTTTGTTCTCTCTCTTAAGTCTTCCCCACAATATAATAATAATGGCCTACCTTTTGCAGTCATTCCTCCGTTGAGTACTGGTCTCCCTTTTCTGTCACGTACAAGGCCCCATGGGTTCGTCTTATGTACCAAGTACAGTTTTGTCTCTTCATCATAATCCAAGACCCCAACATTTATCCACTTGTAGATCAATTTTTGGCTTCTGGGATCCTCTGAGAGTTTAATGAGAAAGTTTTACATTTTCATAATTGCCCTAGTTAGAATGTTCACAGTAGGTAATCCTCACTCCAAATTTTCTTTCTCCTTTAATTTTCAGTTTATTTATTTACAAAACTCCTGTGCCACTTCTCTGGGGAAACTGCCTGAAGTGGTTATGTTGAGGTAATGATATCCCAGTAAACAGATGTATTTTAGGAAGACATTATCATGAAGAAACATCTATGAGCAAACTTAAGTGCACTCAACCTCATGGATGAATTTTCAAAAATGCTTAGCCCCTGCAATAAGTGTTAACCAGCACATTAGTTCACCAGACTCTTTCATTGTACACTCAGAAATTGAGGCATTACAGAAGCTCCTTTTAAAATTATGGTTTATGTGGTATTTTATGAAATGCATACACTGACATGGAAGTTTATATTAGCACAGCACCTTGAGTGTGACCTTCCATGATGAAAGACACATTTTGTTTAGAAAAATCAACAACTTTTAAGTGTCTTTGGTCAGGATCCAAGGAACTACTTCAGGTAACAGCTCCAGGGAGGAGGGATTAAAACCCAGCCAAAACATTCCAAACACCAAAAATATTTCATCCTGAAGGCTTAAAAATATTTAGAAGGGAGAAAAGCTGTCCTGCTGTATTTAATTATTACTTTGTGGTCCTATCACAGTGGGTAGTAAGCTATATGCTTTACCGTGCCCAAGTACATCATCTGTTGGTAGAAGTGCTTTTCCTGGAACTGGTTTCCTGTCTTGGGATCCAGGCTCCACACCCAACCAGAGCCACTCTTCTGGAATCCGGCAATCATACTCTTCATCGTCAAAAACCTTAAAAAACAAGAAGTGTGAAATTAAGCCTTTGCACAAACATCGGCAGACACAGCATTCATAAGACTGCATTTTCAACTGACTGTATTTTGTAAAATTTACTTATGTATTATTCATTTATTTAAGCAAACTATTTTATCCCTTTTTTTTTGACACAAAGGTTTCCATGATGGCTAAAGCTAGATTTAGCCAAAGCCAATGTGAGGCTCCTTTATACCAAAAAGTGGGATAAAATATTTTAATAATTAAAAATATATAAATATGTAGACCCTTTTAAATACCCAAGTATTTTTGCACACATCTCAGGACACACACTCACATCATGGCTCTCCCCTTCTGAAAGGGAATCAACATGGCGGCTGACTGAAGGAACATATATCAATATGTCCCTTCGTGCTTCTCCACATCAGGGACATTAGTTTGCCAGACAGGGCTACTTACAGCCCAAGCTTACTCCTTACTTTCAAAGAGTGCTCTAACAGTCTGTGTGTGGAAAGACTGGAGGATTTTTTAGTCTTATTTGGAGGATTTTTAAGTCTTCTATCTCCTACAACGCAGATACCATCTACATTGCTGTGGAAGAATGCCAGCAGAAAGGCTGACTGAGTCTGCCAGATATAACTTTTACATATTATTTATGGAACCTGCCCGTTTAGACATTCTGAGGCTTAATCTAAAAAGATGATTCTCCCCTTCTGAGTTCAGCTCCACATGTTGCATCAGAAGTCCATCTGGGAAGCCCAGAGCAATCTGTGTGTTGGGGGCAGGGGGATGCATGATGGCCTTGGTAAGAGGAGGGCCAATCTGTGCACATGCAAACTCTGTTATCTGGATCCTGCCCAATAGCTTGCAGGAAGTGTTCTAATCATGGTCATCTATTTTGCTGAATCAAAGCCTCTCAAACAGCAAAGTATACAACTTCCACTAAGAACTACAACAACCATCACAACAACCACCCTCCCCCATATCCAATGTACTTATATTTTCACTAACTTGGCCACCCTGGAAGCTCATGAGGTTAGGTACACAACTTGTTTTCACAAAATGCTTCAGTTGTACCCTGGTAATATTGGGAGGGAGAATGTTTTTATGAGGGCCGTGATGGCAGCCCTGTTCTCCCCAGTGACAGAAACAATGTACAGCAGCAATCTACAAATGGTAATCTGGTGCCTAGAGTTACACATAGAAAGTCTGATAACAGGCTAACATCTTGTTAACAAATGCAATTTGAGCCTTCGTGTAGTAGCTGGGTTCGTGTAGAGGCAGCATCTTGTAGTGCAGGTAGGGATACTGTAACGATATGAGCTTATGTTTGTATTTCTGTATAGTGGTGATGCTGCTTATGTGTGTCTCTAGCATGAATACCTATGCAATATGTATTCAGGGATTGCTGTTTGGTTGTGTTGCTTTGTTCTGCATCTCATGCTTGCCTAGAAATAGGCTGGCCTGGGCCTGCCGTTGCACATACGGACCATGTGCGTCCCTGGAATGTATCCCATGACTCTTTGGGATGGAGAAGACACCGCGCCATTGCACCCACTTGGAGAGCTGTGGAAAATCCCCAGCGAACCCCGGCATTCTTGGAATGGAAAGAGCAAGTGACCCCCCGCATTCCTGGAATGGAAAGAGCAAGTGACCCTACTCCCTTAATCTGGTTTGGAGATCTAAAGACAATAGCGTTTATGGCTTTGGAGCAGGAACCAGATCTGCAAATCAAGAGGGTGTCCATGGGAACGGAAGATTCACACCTTGCCAAAAGGCACCTTTGATGTAGGAGTAGGATCTGCATATTGCCACCACCCCTCAGGAGAGCGTCATCCCCTTCGTCATCCCCTCGTCACCCCCTCTTCATCCAGTAGTGATAGTTTAGAGGACGGGTTTGATAGTTTATGGCTGGATAACACATGCCCCAAAAAGAGTTTATTTAAGGAGAAACTCTCCTTTGTCTCTTTGGTTAACCCACCCTTCCCATAGCAGTGCACTAAGGTGCTACAAGTGACTCTACTACTTAAGTTCTCCGGAGTCGCGACCCAGAGAGCTCACACGTGGTTTGGCTGGTCCTACCTGTGTGCCTTGGAGTTCACAAGCTGCTGCATTTCGGCTGCCCAGCGTTCCAAGGAGGAGAGTTCTTCCTCAGCTGGACCTCAGATGAGTATAGCCGTGCCCCATTGTGTCATCCCCATTTTGATGCTTTTGTTATTTTCTATGCTGTAATTGTTCTAATGTACTATTGTAACTAAGGAGCTTGTATGAATTTGTATGATTCCGATTTTGTATGCCTGATGAAAAACCTTTAGTAAAGACAACATTTATTTAAGGACTAGCGTGTTGTCTCACTTCCTGGGATATAGCCGAGCGTCTCATTCGCCATCCGACCTCTGTATAGACTGGTATAGAACTTACGCACAGCCACAAACACCCAATTTTCCTTGGTAGATAACTTGGATTGGGTCTCCAGGAATTTCCTGGAGAAGTTGGCATAACAATATCAGCCTCTAGAGTATAGAGATCAGTTCCCCTGCAGCAAATGGATGCTTTGGAGGGGGGACTCTAGGGCATTGTACCCCACTGAGGTCTCTGTCCTCCCCAGACTCTATCCCCAAATCTCCAGGAGTTTCCCAATGTGGATCTGGCAACTATATCCTACCAACCCTACCAATGGCCAGGGGGAAACCTAGCAACTCTAAGTGAAGGGATCCCCAGTGTTGCACCTATGGTCAACATGGTGCTCACCAACACCTTTCCTAGTACCAAAGAGTGTTTAGAAAGTGGGTGGAAACAGGTGGGCTTTTTGCTCAGCAGGACATCTTATTGACAACTTGAGATCTGATCAGCCATGCAGATTTTTAAAAAGGTTTCAGTGGTAGTTCCCACCACAGTGATGGTTTTATTCCTTCACTCCTCTTTCCCAGTGCATTTTTTTAAATTACTCCTCTTCTCCCCTGTACTTGGACTTCCTGTGTGTGCGCTCATGTGTGAGTGCGCATATGCATGGGTGGCTCTATCTCTTGCAGTTGCCATTTTGTGGTTGGTTCTGCCTCCTGTGGCAGACATCCTGTGTCAGAATTCCAAATCTGCCCATGGGCTCAAAAAGGTTGGGGACCCTGTTGTAGTGGTTAGAGTGTCAGACTAGGATCTGGAAGACCCAGGTTCAAATCCCCACTGACACTGTCTCTCAGCCTAACCTATTTCACAGGTTGTAGTGGATAAAACGGAGGAGGGGAGAATGCTGTTGTAAGTTGGGCATAAATACATAAAATTATAAAATAAATTAATTTATAAGGTTTTGTAACTTCTGAAGTTGCCACTCTGACTTACCTGTAATGGAAGATAGATAGGGAAAAGAGGGTCTTTCTTCTGCTCAATGGTTGGCATATTTGCAGGGTCCTGGTGTCTTGGCATCAGCTCATTGGAATCTATGCCTGCACTGAGTAATAGCTCAGTGATATCTAAACTGAGATATAATCGCCTTCTCCTAGTTAAACAGAAAGATTAAATGGTTTGTATTTACAAAAAACCATTATTGATTCAACGGCCTTTTATCTTTTTCACTGAATGACAAATATGCTAAAATGAATGAGACAATGTATCAACAGCAGGACATTAGAACACAGAAACATGAATAGAATTGCAATTAGACTAGACTGAGCACTAAGAGACATTCGCAATGGTTCCATCATATCAGTCGCACATAGAAAATTGTATAAAATTGTACATCAATGTCCACTTGGTAATCAGAATCAGTATTTTAAGTCGTTTATGGTAGTCTCTGCATCTCTGTTTCTAATTCTGTAGAAGATATTTCCACATTATTATTTTGATCATGGGAGTTTTGTTCTGTATGCAAGTGGTAGTGCCAAAGTCATAATAATGGCAGCCTTTGCAAAATCATTCCAAGCATTAAATCCTTTCTTATCCACCAGAATTTATTTTGTGGATTGCACCAGCAAAAACAGGCCACTATAGCCTTTTAGATAATCCAATATATAAACTGAATAGCTGAGCTAAAAGTTCCTCTGCAACTTCACTCTCAGGAGCATCCTGTGTCAATTGGTCAGTGTGTAATCCTTTCTCTGTGAAAGTCTCAGGCTCCAACACAGTGGGAAAAGCTATGTTAAAGGCCAGATATTTTTCAGCTCTATCACATGCAGAGTTAGATATGCCCATGCCCATCAAAATCAATGGCCTTAAGTGTACTTAACTGCATAGGATCTCTGCCTTAAAGCCTAAATTCTATGCAGAACTATATACATCTAAACCTATTCGTTTCAATTGGCTTTGGCAATCCTAACCCCAAATAGGACCCAGATGCCAGCTATATAGAAGTTTAATAAGTGCTTATAAAAGCTTATATAATTTATACAGAAGTTTAAGTAACTTTAGAACATTAGAATATTAGAACATAAGAGAAGCCAATGTTGGATCAGGCGAATGGGCCCATCTAGTCCAACACTCTGTCACACAGTGGCCAAAAATACCAGGTGCCATCAGGAGGTCCACCAGTGGGGCCAGGACACTAGAAGCTCTCCCACTGTTGCCCCCCCAAGCACCAAGAATACAATGCATCACCTGCCCCAGCCTGTGAGTTCCTATCTATATCTTGTGGCTAATAGCCACTGATGGACCTCTGCATAGCCAAACGTAAAACACAATTCTCACTTGCCCAATCAATCCTTTTGGGTTCCTTTCCCCCAAATTACCTCTCAATCTCTATCTTCCGAGGGCACTGGCCTGGAAGTACCTCAAAAGGAACTTGTACTTTTGGCTTATATGCTTGCAGAGGAAAGTCTGACTCTTTGATAATTTCTGTAGTTTGTCCAATCTCTTGGCTGTCCAAGATAAGCCCAATATTCTCTGGAGTATCAAATGTTGTGACTAACAAGAAACAAAATTAAGAAAAGTCAAAATTAAGAAAAGTCAGAGCAATTGTTTATTGCATTTATTTCACTGTAATCCAAGGGTCCCCAAAGTGGTGCCCGTGAGCACCATGGTTCCCACCAACACCTTTTCTGGTGCCTGCCAAGTGTTTTTAGGACACAGGTGGGGCCAGGTAGGGCTTTTGCCCAGCAAGGCTTCTGATTGGCTGTGCAGATTTTTTAAACTGTTGTTTGGCAGCAGCTGCTACCACAGCACAAAGATCAGCACTGGGTTACCCAAGTTAAGCTGCAGGGGACCCCTGCTATAACCTATACTGACCTGGAAGCTCAGAGTAGCAAAACCTTTTGATACGCATAGTACTAAATATGTGCTGACCAATTATGGACACCATGCCAACATAGGGGAGAGGCTGCAACTCGGTAGTAGCACCTCCACTTTGTATGCAGAAGGTCCTGGGTTCAATCCCCAGCATCTCCAGTTTTGTTTTGTTTTTAATAACTTTTGTATTTTTCATTTTTTGCGGAAGAAATGGGTTGTGTTCATAATTTGTGTACAGATACCAGACAACGTCACATGGAAACGGGGGGGAAATGGACAAGTCAAGCGGCTGAAATGGAAAAAAATAATCCATGTGAGGGCAGCCCAAGAGTATTTAGGATACTTTCTGGTTAAAACTTGAATGAAGCAAAATTAACCTCTTTCTTATTTGCATCTCATTTCTCTTACAGAGCTGATCATTTTGGTTCATGTTTAAGACAAACAAATAAAATACAATACACTATTACAGGAGATATATATTTAACAACCATGCAAAAAGGAACCTATTTTTGGAAGGGATCTCCCCACCTTTAGGACATTTCATTCCCTCCAAAGAAGAAATAAGAGACATCCACTTGTCCAAAAAGTGAGATAAATTAGAATCTGAATCTGTAGGGTTAAACATTAAAGAGATCTTCTCCATAACAATAAGGTCTTAAGTTTTAACCTTCCACAATGTTAAAGATGGAAGTTTATCCTTCTTTCATTTTGTTGCAATACACAAATGTGCCATCACCAATAAAACTAAAATGAGCTTAAGCTTTGGTGTATCAATATCCTTACAAGAAGGTAAATCCAATAATAGCCATTTGGGATCTAGCTCTAACTTTACATTACAGATCTTATGAATCACCATAAGTACTTTGCTCCAAAGCCCTTGAATGGCTGGGCATTGCCACCAACAATGATAGAAAGATCCCACTTGTTTACGTTTTTTCCAACACACATTTGGAATCTTTCTACAGAAAGGGTGCAATCCTAGCATCTCCAGTTAAAAGGACGATGCAGGAGGTGATGTGACAGACCTCTGTCTGAGACCCTGGAGAGCTGCTGCTATTCTGAGTAGGCAATACTGACCTTGATGGACAAATGGTCTGACTGAGTACAAGATAGCTTCATGTTTTCATTTAAACAGGGAGGGCAGAGCTAATGAAATGAACAAGCCACAGCCCCTGCTCCTGTGCTCCATCTATTTGGCCCCAGCTAAAGTTTTCTAAAAGCAGTAGCTAATGGGCTGCCACCAAAAACAGCCATCCCTCCTGTAGGCATCTCTCCTGTAATTTAGGTACTAAGGCATACTACTGCTATTTAATATTTTTTATTGCTAGCAAGAAGAACTGGTAGGCATAAGCAAATGTTGACTCTGCACACTGCTGGGTTCTTCTAATTAATGGGCTTCCCAAATCCTGATGTTTGAAGAAAATATTTTCTGACCTAAAACTGGAGTGTCACAGGCAGCACTGAGGCAATGCCACAGACTCCCTACACCAGTGTAGCAGTAGGCAGCATCTGCCAACGCTGTACTGCCATGTACTGGGCAAAGTAGGGTCACCAATTTACAAGTAGGGCTGAAGGCCTCCCAGAATTACAACCAATCTCCAGACTACACAGATCAAATGGCTCCTTTGGAGGGTGGACTCTGTGGAATTATATCCCTACAAGGTTCCTCCCCTCCCCGAACCCCACCATCCTCAGGCTCCATTCCCCAAATCTCCAGGAATTTCCCAGCCTGGATTTGGCAACCTTAGCACAGAGGCAGGAATAAAGACATGAAGTATCAAAAGAAAAAAAAAGAGGGGGAATCAGAGAAAGAACGGCCTACCCCAATGATTTCCCCCTCACGGCTTTAAACTTCAGAAATTTTACATCTGCAGGTGTGCAGCACTGCATATTGAAGGAGCAGTGCAGACAAATGTCACACACCTCCCAGAGACATGATGTATCTGCTCTGCCATGTATGCCTGGCAATCAGAAACAGAGAAAGAAGCAGACAGACCAGGCCAAAGTTATCAGGTGAGAAATGAGAGATCCATCATGAGGCTCTGATACCCCTCAACAGCTTGAATTTTCATGAAAAACCACTTGGAGGTTAATCGTTTCTCTCTGTGCTGATTCCCATGTTAAGACAGAGGAAGACAGAACAATGTTCTAAGCCATTTTGGGTCCCCACTGGGGAGAAAAGCAAGATATAACTATCTAAATAGACAAATTAAAAAATAAAATCATTCCCCCCACACACTTCCCCCAGGTAGAGAAAAAAGAAAGGCAACTTCCTGTTCATATTCAAGCAGGAAGACCTGGGAACAGCCCTCCTCTGATGCTGGAAGCTCAGCAGACCCCAAACTCTCCCAGAGGTCTCCTAGTATTATTTGATTGTAAGCAACAGCCATAAACTCAACTTGTTGCCATAATCTCGTGCTCCTTGCCCTCACACATCGAGTGTGAATGAATGCTTCCTGGTTTCAGAAACTGGTGTATATATTGTATGCTTGCTTGCTTTATTTATTTATTTATTTATTTAATTCGATTTGTATCCCGCCCTTCCTGCTGAGGCAGGCTCAGGGCAGCTTACATTTTAAAATACATTAAAACACAAATGCATTAAACACAATGCACCATCATAAAACTCATATACATAACAGATAAATAACAGATAAAGTGCTGGTCGCGGTGACATTGCATACTGATCCCAATAGGTCATGATACGATGATAACAAAAGAATATGGCCAAAGGCTGTTGCTATTGACATCACAGGCTGTTGATGTTGACATAGAGGGCCTTAGCTCAGTTCAGTTGTTATTGGAAGTGGCTCCTAATCAAAGGCCTGGTGGAAGAGCTCCGTTTTGCAGGCCCTGTGGAGCCTGTCTTCTGGGACCTCATTCTACCAGTATGGAGCCACTACTGAGAAGGCCCTGGCCCTGGTAGAGGCAAGTCTGGCGTCTTTCGGTCCAGGGAGGGCCAAACGGTTTTGAGACCCTGACCTCAGTGCTCTCTGGGGAACATACGGGGAAAGGCGGTCCCTCAGGTAGGCAGGCCCCAGACCATATAGGGCTTTAAAGGTCAAAACCAGCACCTTGAAGCGAATCCGGTATGCTATCGGCAGCCAGTTCAGTGACTTCAGCACAGCCTGGATATGCTCCCGCACAGGGAGATCCATCAACAGCCTGGCTGCCACATTTTGCACCAGCTGCAGCTTCCGAATTTGCGACAAGGGCAGCCCCATGTAGAGAGCATTACAGTAGTCCGATCTCGATGTAACCATTGAGTGGATCACTGTTGCCCCATACATACCCCAGAGAGCACTACAGTTGGGGTCACAACACCATCTAACTACTCCAGGCCCTAGAGGTGCCAGGCTGGCTGTTACCAGGGCCAGGGCCTTTTCGGTGGCAGCTCCTACCTGGTGGAATGACCTCCCGGAGGAGATCAGGGCCCTGCGGGACTTGATACAATTCCGCAGGGCCTGCAATATGGAGCTCTTCCACCAGGCTTCCAACTAGGAGCCGCCTACCATTACCACCAACTATTACTGTCATCAGCATCGTGGAAATAGGTTGGCCCTTCATGAGATCGAGCCACAGTGTTGTGGAAGGCAGAAGTACTGCTAAATTGGGACCCTAGTATCACATCTTATTGCATGCCACCCCAAATTGACTGAAGAATGACCATCATTGCAAGTACTTTATTGCATTTAATTGTATTTAAAGTACAGTAGTTTTATCTTGTTTTTAAATGTTTTATGCCAATTTTGGCACACGGTGCCATCAATTGTGAGCCGCCCTGAGCCTGTTCGCGGGGAGGGTGGGATAGAAATCCAAGAAATAAATCATTGCATTCGAGGAAGGGAACCAGCTGCCTAATCAGCCGAAGATGGTAAAAGGCTCGTTAAGGAGGCATCCAGGAGCACTCCCAAGCTCCTGACCTTCGGTGCTGGCACCAACGGTGCCCCATTGAAGGCCGGTAGTGAGATCCCTACCCCCAGTCCACTCCAACTCGGGCACAGAACCTCCATCTTCATCGGATTCAATTCAATTTCTTTTCTTTCTTTTTTTGGCCCCCCAACGGGGAATTTTTTATTTTTTGCATTTTCTACACACTACAATTATGGGATGGGAGAAGGGATACTAATACCCTGACACTAATATTATGGCTGATGGGTAAAGGAAATATAATACATATATCTTCTTGATAGGGAGAGGAAAACTACCATTCTAATCTATTTCATCTACTGGATTTGGGGAAAAGAAAAAGTCTAATACATGTCACGATCTGAATAGCTGAGAAAATAATGCTTTTTAACCTAATATTACAGGTTATATAAAGATTTGGTTCAATTATGATAGTATACCTTTAATAGCTTAACACAATTACTGCCTTTAGTACTATTGTCTTAGTTCTAGAGTCTTTTCTTCTTGCATTTCTTCGTTTTCAGGAGTTTGGGGGCAGCCTCTCCTTTCTCTGATTCAGATGATTCTGATGATGTGGAGTTTTGGCTTGTTGAATCCTTTGAGTAGGATTCTTCTTCTTCTTCCTCCCCATCTGGTTTTAAATTCTTTTCCTTCTGCTTCTTTTTTATATTAAACATTTGATCCATAATTTTTTCCGCTTTTGGAACAGAGTCTATTTTATATTTTTTGTCCTGGTAGTTGAAGCTCAGCCCTTCCAGGAATAACCATCT